AAAAAATAGATAACATCTATTGAGAATTTACTGTGTGCCAGATGGTACTCTAACTTATTTACCTGTGTTATCTCATTTAATATTTACTAATTCCTTAGGAAATAGGGAATATTATCTATATTTGACTAGTGATAAAAGTGGGACACAGAAAGGTTAATAGATTTACCAGAAGTCACATAAATAGAAAACAAAAGAAGTGGAACACAAACCAAAGCAAATTATCTCCCGAGCCTATGCTCTTAGCAATTATACCATATTTATGAAATAGGTACTATTTCTCACCAATTTAATAGATGGAGTAACAGATGCTCTTTGAGTTTTATAAGCTCCCCTTGGTAATTGGAACTCAAACCAACTCAGACAGATACTATTTCAGAGTCTATACTCCAACCTCTGCAGTAAGTTGTGCCTTCACATTTCCTATCATAGTGCCTGGTGCAGAGTAATCACTCAATTAATAATTGGTATTTTTATTATTAGAAACTTCTTGTTCACAGTGCCTACTATTGGATAGCCTATAATGAGTTTTGGTAAATAATTGCTAAATAAATAACTAGGCAGAACTTACCAAAAACTTATTTCTCTGTGTAAATTATTCTACCTTTTGTGACCTTTTTCCATTTTTCCCACCATCACGATATTTTCTTTGTTATTCTATTACATTAAGAGCTCTGGTTGTTTTCCTATGGTAGTTATCTAGAAAGAATTGACAGTGTAGTGTTCATTCTCACAGGTAATGCTTTATGGTGAAAGTTTAACATGTATAAGACCATGTGAAAAACTCAATAAGCAGATCAGGAAAAAGTATCGAACACATAGTACAACATGTACTGCGCTAAGTGCTTTAAATACACATGCTTACTTACACTCTCAACAGCCTCTTCGAAAGCTCCCATTATCTCCATTTTACACGCATGAAAATTGAAGCCCAAAAAGTTTGGTAACTTGAGCAAGTTTAAGATACAGATATTGTACTGCAGAACTCAGATTTGAGTACAAATTTAACTCTAAAACCCATTTACTTAATCACTAATGCCTTACTAAAAAGCTAAGAAGCTCAAAGAGAGACTATTTTAAATTATTTCAGACTGGCTATATGTGTACCACTGAAACCCGGTGCAGACATGGTGTGCCAGGAGCTGGCAGGCCACTTGGTGGTTGCCTCGCTGAGTATACCAGTGGAAGGGGTGGATCTTAACTCCTCCTCCTAAGTAAGGATGTCTTATCACCAGATAGCTTTGTTTTGCTATACTATTTGCTTTCTATTTTTGTTAATTTCTCCCCAGGCAAACAAATCTAGATTATATTGCTTTTTTCATCACTAATTGGAAGATGGTTTGGGGATTTTCTGTATGTAGCAGGGCATACTCAAATTGCCGTGATCCTTTTGTCTTACTGCCGTGTTCTAGAATCTTTTGTCCACCCACACCAGACCTACATGTGCATCACATGATATTTTTGGCAGTAGGGAAAAATCTATAGAACTGCTTTGTATGCTATGTTGGTCATATGCTTGACTTTTAATAGGTAGCTTTCCAATATTAAGGAAGACAGCCATGTAAGTTTTGCTGTATGTTCTCCCTGCATAGTTGTTGTCCGTGTTTGTTTTAAAAACCTGTCTCTCAAAAATAAAAGGTGTAAAGTGACAGTCAAGGAAAATTATTTGCAGTTTACATCACAGACAAAACCCAATATTCCTAATTATAGGGAGCTTCTAAAAATTGAGAATAAAAGGATCTTAATTCTACTACAAATGAACCATATTAGGAGATCCTTCACAGAAAAAAAAAATTCTTTTTAAGTGTAAGTTAAACATCACTGCTTACTTATCTGCTTTACAAAAACCTTCAAGTTTGTCAAAAGACTCCATTGGTGAGGATCTGGGGTAACAGACACTTTGACACGTTGCTAGTGGGAAGGCAAACGGGACAAACACTACTCAGGGAAATTATGTAATATCTACATGATGTGTGTAATTACTCTTTGTTTAAGAGTCTATACTTTGAGTTTATTCCAAGAACACACTGGAAAAAATATGAAAAGTCCTGTACATGTGGTTATACATCATCATACTATTTTCATCACAAAAGAGCAGAAAAAACCAAATGTCCATTAAAAAAATAACTGGATGAGTTACAGTACCTCCACACAATAGAGTACTATACAGTTATGAACAGGAAAGACTATCTCTATGTATTATGGAAGAATCTTCAGATACATTGTTAAATAAGAAAGGCAAGGAGAAGAAATGTGTTTGTTGTGTGCTACTATTTATCTAAGTGAATGTAATGAAAATATAGATACATATTTGCTTATATTATAATCAAAACAACAATAGCAAAACTGGTCCTACTGTAAAACACACAAACACGTGCATACACACATATACATACACAAAATTGTTTTCGAAAGTTACCTTTGGCAGAAGGGAAGGTATAGACAGTAGGAATAAGGAATGGTATAGAGAGGAGAAGATAGGGGTAGAATCTTGACTTCTTTGAATTTTGAATATTTGACTTTGGAACCACTTAAATATTTTATATAATTTTTAAATAAAGTTAAATCTTAAACCAATTATTTCAAATAGTCAAAGGCAAATAAACACATCAGCACAACTGTGTTTCAGTGTGATGGCGTGAACACACTGAGATGAATTACTCCAAGTCATAATCAGCAGAGTGATTTGATTGTCTCTCTGGTGGGATGTACTCAAAGGATGGAGACAACAGCAATACGTTCTTAACTATTTTCAGTAATCATGTTGTTAATGGTAGTGCTGCACTATCATGAGACTGTTGTATATGCTTCGTGTGATATCTCAAAGAAGCAATTATCTTGGTGTCCTTAAGAACTAGAATTTTTAGCACAGGTGAAGGGAAATACATATGTAAGACCAGTAAGTTTAAGTAAAATTCTATTATACTGATTTCAAATTGGAAGTGTCATTAAGAACTCAGTAGTTTTTATCTTAAAAAATAAAATATACACTCCAGGGGCCAGGCGCGGTGGCTCACGCCTGTAATCCTAACACTCTGGGAGGCCAAGGTGGTAGGATCGTTTGAGCTCAGGAGTTCCAGACCAGCCTGAGCAAGAGCGAGACCCCATCTCTACTAAAAAAAATAGAAAGAAATTATCTGGACAACTAAAAATATATAGGAAATAAAAATATATACACTCCAATGGCAGTCAGCACAGCTACAGCCCAGATACTGTTTTCTAAATGCCATTCTCTATTAAAAGCAACCAGGTTTCCTTGGAGAAAGGACTGAGTCTAGGACCGCAACTGAGAAAGCAAAAGTTGAGTCTGGAATACCTTTTAGGTCCAGAAAACAAAGACACATTCAAACAAGGATGGAATTTGTCAAAAAGACACAGGAGCCATCTTGTAGGGGGTGCTCCTGGTAAAATCTGGGAAAATTCAAGCATAAAAATAGATAATGATAGTAATGTGGTGTAGCCCACAGAATAAAATAATAATCCCTAAGTCCATAGATGGGGAGAAGGAAAAGCACTTCCGCACAGTAGACTGCCAGCAAATAAATTTAGATGGAATGATGGAATTAGAAAACCACAAATTGGCAGCCATCATAGTAATTGATACAGACAAGGGTAATGAAGGACATTAAAATTAGTGAGTAAAATGTTGATGAATTCCAGGATATCTACATAGGTCGAATGCCTCTTTTTCTCTTTTGCCCATTTTTATTGCTCAGTTATTTTTTCTTTAGATTTATGTGAGTTTATTATAAATTCTGGAAGCCAATTTTTGCTGGTTATGTGTATCTTAATTG